ATCAGAAGTGCTTGTATGTAGATAGCATGATGTAATCACTCAAAATTAATTTATCGCAAGTCATAAAAAATAATGTATTACACATTCCCTCACTTTTAAAAATCAAACTTTAATTACTAAAATTAAATTAAAATTATAAAAAACAATTTACAGAATCCTAAACTATTCTGTGACTATTCAATAAACTATTCAATTGTGAGAGTACACCAAGTCCTGAATTTTATCAGTGGTCTAGTTTTTCATCTGCAATTTTTGACAAAGTTATTTGTTAGAAATAATGGAGTTTTATATGTAGATATATACAACCCTTGGTCCTAGTTGTATGGGTTTCTTGCATGATTTAAGCTACATTGTGATGTCATTACCTCCCATTAATTGTCAAATTGCCTAAAATTGCTTTTCATTTAACCTATTTGTCCTTTTACGTAAATGATTTAAGTTTGTATGTCAGTGTGTGTACCACAAACAGGTAGAGAAATTTCTCCACCTTCCTAAAGGTGAAGTATTTTCTTATTCTCTGGCAAAATTACCCGACAGAAGCAAACCAGGCTAAAGCTTGCACATCCTTTGCAAAGCCAGGCTGGGTCATGCGCAGAGCAAAGCCAAGCAGTGAGGCTGGGATTGTATTGACAAGAACAAGATGAATGGCCCCCTGGAGACTATGGGGTTTGTCTGCTCGTTTCCACCACCTTTTCATCCTTTTGTACCCCCTTTCAGTTCATATGCAGATTAACTCTAACCAAGTCCACGCTAAATACTCTTTTTCACTTTAGTTTTGGAAGGTAGGTGGAGGATCTAAATATTTATGAGGCTTTTTTTCTCTGGTTTATGATGCACTCTTGTTGAACGTTGAGGAATTACGTTAATGAATGCATGCCTGCACACACAGACACAGAAACCAGGCAAAAGGAAAAAAAACACACAAAGCATTGTCAGCTCTAATGTCAGTGCTTACTAAAACAGTTCCCATTAAAAAAAAAAAAGGGAAAGAGATTTAAAATCCATTGCCAGGAGAAAAATAAATTGTATGGCTGAGCACAAAAGAAAGAACAAAGTTTCATCTTTGCTTTCCTCAGCTGTAAATGAAACTCTTGTTTCAGCTCTGAATAAAATTGAAATAAAACATGTTAATGAGAGCTTGTCTGAAGTCTTAACTAGATTTGTGTTTTCAGTACTAAAAGACCAACCTTCAGTCCTGTACAAATTTCCTTTAACACCAGTAGTAATAAACATGGTATTTTTTAGTATGATACAAGGTGCAGTTAAGTATACTTTAATTAGACTTCCAAGTCAGATAATTAAATGACACTGGTTTTGCCATGATTCTGCTGAGTTCAGTACACTTATTCAGAAGACTTAGTTTTTATGAGACAGGATTTTTATGAAAAAGGAACTTTTTTTTAATAAACAGAATATAATGAGATTATAGCAAGATATACTAGATTATTAATCTATTTTCCAAATGGTTAGTTCAAAACTAACACAGAACCTTTTTTCCATAAATGGCAGAGTAAATGTCATTAAAATTCTAGTACTGAAAAATGGGCATATTAATTATTTTAATACTACATTGTCAAAAAGAGTTGCCTCTTCAACTTATAATTAGCTCTGCCTTCCTTCCACCCCTTTTTATTCTCCAGTTACACACATGGCTGTGCCAGACAGCACACACAAGTGGGACAGTAAATTCTTCTGCATTCAGGAAGCAAAACAAGAGATTTTAAAATGTGCTTTTGTGCTATCATTTAAAAACGTACTGAAGCAATTGCAAAATAGTAGCTCTTCAAGTGCAATAGTATTTCTCTGTCTAGACTCAGTTTTCCATATTAACAATATGTGTATTTGAAGTTCATAAAACATTGGCCTAATAAATATGTTTATTTTTTATGGTACTTTGTTTTCTAGCTATTCAGTTTCATATGTAATTAAATCAAATAAAGTTCTAAACTTACTGGTTTTTATCTTAAAACACTGATTTTGCTATTTTCAATGATTTTGCCTGTGTTACTCAAGGGGTAAGTGAAACAACTTTGTTTAGCAGATCCCAAAACAGTAAAGCTGTATATGACCTAATAAAAAATAGTGTTTAACAATTGAAATTACGTCACTTCTGTTTAATTGGTTATACTTCAGCCTAAATCTTTTCCCTCTTATTTTTTTTTTCTCTAAGTCTACATACCCAGTTGTGACCACAGATAAAATATTAAATATTGCTGAAGTACTTAAACTCCTTGAATGTGAATTTAAAATAAATAAATCTCAGTTTTGTCTGTCAACTGGTGCAATTTCAGATATACCTGAATTTCTCAATCCTGGGCAAACTGAAGCACTTACACATTACCTTAGGTAAACGTACTTGCACACCTGTATAACAATGTGTCTTTTTTTTTCTGGGGGTGGATTTGCAGGAAGGGGAGGCAGGACTTCCTTCTATGTACAGCACACAGTGGACTAATAGGCAAGTGGAAAAAAATGCATCAAGCTGGAAAATGTTGAAAGAAAAGAGCATCAGGGAGATGACATACTTGACTACACTTTGAAGAAGGAGAAGGGGTAGAGGCAGGCATAGGAAAAAGTTTTTATATGGAGAGCTGTAACAAAAAAACCCAAAAGTTTAGAGAGTCCTTGGCTTGAGCAAGGATTTTGGGGGTTCCCTTTAAGCTATTAACATTCCCAAAGAGGGAAAATAAAAAAATAGTGCACCAGCTAAGGTCCTTTTTGGGATGAACTATAGGCTTAATCCAGGCACATCAGAGTCCTGCAAAAGTCATTATTTACAAAACCAAGTAAGTACCCACACATACACAAAAAAAAAAATTTAAAAAAAAAAAAAAATCCCTAAAGCTAAAGAGGTCGTACTGCCCAGGAGTGCCATGTTAATGTTGAGGAAAGCAACTATCTCTGCTTTTCCCAAAAGGAAATGTAACAGGAAAACTTAAGAATGGATAAAGATCATAAGCTTGAGCTAGGCATCATCCAGATGTGCTTGTCAGCTGCACCTCCAGCCAGCACACTGGTGGTGAAGACAAGCCGCCTTCTCCAGTCTCAGAGGCTCATGTGAAAGGGGCTCATGTGAGGAGCCAGAAAGTCTAGACCAAGGGGACTTGTAGCCTGTGCACTAGCTAGCTCATGTTCCTTAAATAGAATATCGGATATAAACTAGTTACCTATGCTGTGATATTTGTAATATGTAATTACAAATTACCTTTGCTTCTTTGTCTCAAACCAATCTGCATCCACAGATTTGTAGCCTATTAGAGCAATCTCTGCTTCCAGAAAGTGAAAACACACAAATTCAACTGTGAAAATACAACACTGATGCTTTCAGTGCATTCTTAAAGGCCTACCTAGTGATATTCTGCCTTCGGTGGTTTTGCTTCAGCCGTTTCTCAATTTCTTGATCAGAGTCCCACAATAGATACAGACTTTTGGTCCCAATTCAAAATCCCAAGTCATGGAAGGAAAAAAAAAGTAATGGAACTGGTTATGAGGACCCAAATTACAGCATCATCAGGATTACCAAATAGGTTAAGATTTCCAACAATAGAAGCTCCCTTTTATTTGTTTGTACACTCTCTACATTCTTTACTATTTTCCCTCTAAATTTCTTTAAATTCAACAATCACAAGATAGGTAAGGATTAAAAAAAAGAAAAAAAATTAAGAAATCCACAGCACACACCGCTGGAAATTGCAGGTAAGTTCTTTTAATACTCAACTTTTGTGGTGAACTCCAAAAATGAGCAATATTCCTTTTTCCTGAGGCTGATTCTGAAGCATTGTCACATATCTGAAGGCAGTGGAGTGTAGCCATGTGTTTTCAAGAAAGTTCTTTCATGGGTCCACCTAATCTTGAGGCTGAGATCTTTCCAAATGGCATCCTGCATAAATTTCCCTTTTTTTTTCCTTCCCAAAAATAAATTTCCTACAGCTAAATCATAGCATTCTAAATGGAGTCTGCCACCTGCCTAAGCTAAGAGAAGTCTAGCTGTCTCCATACTAGTGTGACAGAGTCATCTCACAGATGGGAGGTGTGTCCCCACGGGTGACACTGAACAAAAAGGAAATCTGAAAAACAGGTTTTTTGGGGGTTTTTTTTGTGAGTTTGATATACAGGATTAAAGTGTATGTCTTGATTTGAAAAGACAGGTGTTTGCTAAGGAAGGCAGGAGCCTTTCTTGAAATGGAAAATGTAAATTTGTCAGGCTGTTGGTAGCACTCTGATTAAATGGTGGCTGCAGTCCTCCTGCAGTGACAGATGTGGTTCTGTTGAAGCAGTGATCCTCTAGAAGGGTGTGTTTTCCTCTGGAGGTCCAGTGGTGATGTAGAACTGTCTGGTTTTCTTTTGTGAATCCAGTGGAAAAAAGCTGGCCGTGGTGTTCCAAATCTCAGATTATATCCAGGTAGGAATTCTTGGCTCCTCCCCTGGGTGGAGCATCTGACAATGGGATGATGGAATTTATCAGTCATGCAGTGAGACTCAATGGGGGATGATGGAATTTATCAGTCATGCAGTGAGACTCAATGGCCCATTAACAGAGGATATCCCCATGGAGTTTTTAAGGATGGGGTATGGAAGAGATAAGAAACACTGCCCCAGCTGGTTTTAACAGATGGGAATAGAAGACATACTTCTCCTTACAGCTTGCCTAAACGACTGAATTAAGTGTGAAAAACAAAAATTCTCTCTCTGTACTCACAGATGCCTGAAATTCTGCTGAGAGCTTGACCTAAAGCTCATAGCAGACAGAAGGGTACAAATGCTGAAGCCACAATTACCAAAGTGCTTCAAGATCTAGCATATGTCCTTAGACAAGTTTCTCAATGGCAGGCCTACCAAAAACCCCAACAAAACAGGTCTGCAAATTTTCTCAAGCTATGGGTGATGCATGCTTTTTTCTTCTCATATACAGAAGCAGTGTTCAAATTCATATTTCAGATTCATAAGCATAGTTCTATTAGGACTCCCCAGCCAATTTTTTTTCCAGAAATATCCTTCAGACACTTAGCCTTCATTAATTAATTGATGAGGGAGCCTGAGCCTACCTCTAGACACAAAGATTTGCTACCTTGGGTACAGAACTCCTGTAGGGCTTAAGTGTCATAGCAGAAAGGCTTTGAGATGCTGGTAGAATAAAACAGAACATCATTCCTTCCTCTTACACAAATCAACTCCAGCTTGCTTCACAAATCATCAAGAGGTTGGTGGTTGCTCTTCAGGCAAACAGCTTCCAATATCAACAGTGCTGATCTAGGAAAGAGGAAAGTGGGTTTGGGAGAGTTTTATTCTCCAAGCACAGTATTGTTCTTATCCTGCTTCCTCCTGTTTGAATTTCTCCATACAAAGGGGGAAGGGCAGAAGAAGAGGCTGCTTTCTAACCTGTTACTTTTGCCAGCCAAATCTTCACACTTTATAGATACAGAGGGATTATTTAAAAGGCAAAAGATGATATAGGCAAAAGTTGCAGACTTATTTGAAGAACAGAGTAAACTGAAGAGCCTATACTGTTATTTCAAGAATTAATATTCCATTTCAGATCATAATAATTTGCCTCCATTCCATTTGCGACATTTTTAAAGCAAGAACCATCGCTAATTTGTCAAGGATTTGTCAAAGTGTTAGAATTGTTCTTGTAAAAACTATTGAATATCAGGAATTAAATAAATGAAGTTTACAGAAACCTCAAGCATAATTTCTTTCTAAAGATCATTTACTGTTCCTAAACGGTATGGAATTAATTTGTTATCAAGTTTGCAAATATAAATGCTCATAAATTGAGTTTTAATAGCATGATATAATTTGGGAGCATTCTAGAAGTTTATTATTGAATCAGCTATCTTTAGCTTTTTTCATTTGTCAAAAAAAAACATGTTATAGCTGCAAACTAATCAATTAACATTTTGTGATATTTGTCTGAGGAAGATAAAGGGGCTTGTTTTGTTCTTTAAACACTGCCTTAGTCACTTTACTAGAGTGATTTTTAAGAATAATGTCATCTGAATAAGGGTAATGATCTAGAAAGACACTGAAATGAGACAAAAGCCATTTGAATTTAATGTCAGCTTTTGATATGGATTTTTTTCTGTCTCTCATCTAAAAAGTTTAACAAACAGAATCAGGATCAAGCTGTGACCATAGTGCTGCTCACTCTGGGCTGGCCATGTTTATACTGTTGATATCTCATCCAACACAGCGTGGCAGCTTATCAAACCATGCCTGGCAAGTCTTTGGGAAAGTGTTAGTTAGCCTTGGGGGAAAACTGTCCCAGGGCTCTTCTGAACAGCAGTGCCACTGGGATGCACTCCCTGGCACTGCTGAATTTCTCAGTGCACCTGTAATTCCCAGGAATTTGATCAGAGCATGGGACAGTTCTATCAGTAAGTGCCCCTTTAGTGGGGAATAACTATTTTTTTCTTTCTTCCTCTCCTTATCTGCTACATCAGCTTGGGCCATGATATCACTGGAAAAAGTAATCTCTCCCTATTATGTGTAAACCATCTATTACAGGCAGCTCACAACTTTAATTTGAAGTTATTACATAGTATATTAATTAGAGTAGCAACAAAGAGATTGCCGAAATTTAGAAAAGTCTGATAAAAGAAAATCTCTCTCCCCACACAAATATATATCTATTTCTGTAAGTGTAAATCTGTCAGTATACTAACATACAGTAAATGCATGTGTATATATTTTTAAATATACTATGTAAAAGAGTTCTGCATTACTGTGTCTCTCTGCCAGCAGAATTAAGATAACAATCTATTACACAGCTTTTTGACGGATACGTTATAGCTAGTTAGATAAGCTCATTCTTGCATTATGAATGGCTCCTCCAAAAACCTGGGCATAGGCATATCATGTGATATTTCACTCAAAATTGACAGTATTTCACAGAGAAAACAAAGATAGCTATTGTCTGATAATATTTTTAATTATATTTGAAGATCATTACATGCCGTATCATTTAAGTGATAGCACTAAAAAACCCTGCTTAATGAAGGATGAAGTTTAGGAATAGAGATGAGGGATAGCACAAAAAAAATAGAGCCCATGCCTGAGACAGGTGTTTTACTGGCTACATCTTGGCAGTGAATTTCCCTCTAACACTGGTAGCTACACATGAAGCAAGAAGGTAGTTAAAGAAACAGCAGAGGATAAGAGTACATGCACGAAGAGGAACCTTGCACAACACTGCAAGACAAAGAAAACCAGCCTTGTAAATTGGAAACCAGGAATTCAGAAACCTAAAAATATTTTTTTCATTTCTTTTAATAATCACGGTTCCAAGTAAAACTGGGTGAAATAGCCATGAAATATGCAAAGTAGCCGTCTAATCACACATCAAAATGGCAATCTACAAATACTCCAGGCTTCTTTTGGATTTACTAGCTCCATCAAGAGTGTGCATTTAGTACCAGCTGCCAACATTTCCAGGAACAAATGTATTAAATAGATATTACAGTGTGGCAGAATTTCCTCAGCTGATGGTAAATTATGTGACTTTGCAAATTGATACAGAACCTCCTCCCTTGGTCCAGGGAAAGGAGCAAAATATAAGGGCCCTTCAGACCTGATTAAAGTCAAATTGCAGGAAACATTTAATATAAAATATGCACAGCAACACAACCTTAATTAGACACTCACATCTCTCAAGATATCAATAAATGTTTCCTTTTTGATAAGTCTGATTTAATAGATTGTAATAGCAGGAATGTTTCTGAAACATCATTCAAGGAAGTGAGAGAAATAAACAAGCTCAAACATTTAAAACTCAACACCAATTAGCAGACCATTCTTTTCAAAATAAATCTGAATTTCAAGTTTATTCAGCTTTAGTCAAACACAATAAAGGCTTTGTTTTTAGAATAATTTGTCTTGAGACTTGAGAAACAGCTTCTGGGTGCTGGTATCTTCATTCACAGAAGGCTACATTAGCAGCAAAATGTATTGGGTGCTTTAAGATTTAGCAGTGAATTAGAAAATAAATGTAAAGACAATCTCCCCATCTTGAGAGGTTTTGTGTGTGTGTTTCTCCTTACCTTTGGCATGAAACAGAAACTGAGAGGTCAGAAATGTGATCTTGTCTTTTGCAGCTGCCTGGTGACAGCACCATGTTCAGCTCGACCATGTGAGTTTTCACTTGGGTTTGGTACCTTAGGGAACCTTGAAGCAAGAAATGCACAGCACATATGTTTATAGCATTTTCAAGCACAGCAAATTCACAGAAGCACTTGCACTCCATTTTGGCCATTACACCACAGAAAAGTGGTGCAGATTGTTAAAACTCCAAGAACAATACTCCAATATCCTTTATCACAAAATTCTTCTCTAATTCAGACACAGAGTGTTTGATCTGTGTTGAATGCTTCTTGCTGGTTGTATTTCAGAGGTGATGACAGAAAGAAAATCTCTCACAAAGATAGACTTGCAGGAAGAAATGAGGACCCACCATGTCTCCGAGCACATGACAGGGCTGGGGGGAAGTTTTGTGTCTGGAGCCAGTAACGGGTGTGAAATAAATTAGAGACCTTGAATCTCACATCATACCACAGCTGTTCTGTGAAGAAGCCCAGGGCTGCAGAACGAGGAAATCTCTTTAAAATTATTTTCTTGCCAGCAAGGAAGAGAGGAATGAGTATTCCTACATGGGTGAAACCTGTGAGAACGCTCACCTGCATCTGTACTGTACTGATATTGCTTGAATTTCTCCGAATGATTTCCTGAGTATCAGTGGGCTCAGCTTTCCTCTGTGAAAACAAATGGCCTCAGTTATTCTGCTGCCATGGGATGTGAAGCAAATAATTACCTTTGTTCAGGTTCTTGTAATTCAGAAGTAAGAATATTTGAGTATCAATGCAGTAGTGGATTTTTAATGCAGAGAGTTCATGAAACCAGGTAACATTTTTGTTCTTTAAACTAGAGAGAAGATCCACCTGACATCAATGAATAACTTGAAAAAAACAAAAAACAAAATGACACCAAAAAAAAAAACCCCAAAAAACCAACAAAAGGTAGAAAATATTTTTCATTCCAAAGATTGTATTTGGAAGGTTTTAAAATTGTCTTATAAACAGTGTCTGACATGTACCATCAAAAGGAAAGATTTCATCTGTATTACTGTTTCTGTTACATCAGCTATTTAAACATGATGAAATAAAATAATAAGCATAAGCAGAATAAGCAACAGCAGAAACCACAGATCTTAAAACACCAGAAAACTTCACAATATCATTAATTGCAAGTAAACGGAGTCTCAAAGTCAGCATTTTGTATTTTTTCATGATATGACTACCTTTTATAAACAGACATAAAAACATAAAACACTTTTTAAAAAGTTAACAAACATGTAAATATGAACTGGGGCATTCAAATGTATTCTCAAAGAAGATAATTAATTTTTTTATATATACTGCTATATTACTGATTATAGCACATCAAAACCCTCTGCAATTTAGCACTGGTTTTTGCTGAATTAAGTCACTGGAAGTGTCCACCAGGCTGTCACAGTGTGCTCAGTGAAAGACGCTGGATACTACACGATGTCCTAGAAGGTAGACTCTTTTAAATAATTTGTACACAGTGCTGGACTATGTGCATAATTCCCTCCAATCCACTAGAATGCTGAAGTGGCCAATTCATAATAGGGTCTTTGATGATGAAGAAGGATAGTGGGAGAAAGATGCTCTGACTCAGGTACTTCTCACTCCTGATCTCTATTCCTCATAAATATTGGAGGGAGAAGGCTCTGTTGATGGAACGCTTATTTTCTCAAAGGTAAACGGAAAAAAGGAACATGCAGAGAAGACATCCCCCAGGACCAGAATGTACAAAGCTTTCTTCTGCATCTTCCCTTGCCACCACCCCAAACAGGTCGAGTCTTCCAAAATTTAAAAAACACTGAAATGATTTTACCATTTCTCAGAGAAAACCTCAGTCTCAGCAGTTATATATATATATTTTTTTTTTCATTTACTGCCAGAAAAACCTAGGTATTCATTGGTATCTGTGATTCATTTAAGGAAATAGAGAGTGAGCTGCAGCAGAAAGAAAAGAGCAAACTAATGCTGTGTATGCCAGATCACCTGCAGAAGAAAGCCTTTCCCAAAACAAGGAGGGAAACATTCAGTAGTGCCTTTTGGGATTCAGGAGCTATAGAGAGAAGAAATGACTTAGCAGATAGTTTTGGTGCCTCTCAACATCGGCAGCAGCAAAAATGTAACATGAGAGTAAAAAAACACAAAGAACTGAAGCAAAGAACAAAATGAACCCAAGAGGAATTCAGAGGGTGGTGGCAAAGGGCACTTGTCCTGGATGGGACAGAGCAGCCACAGTAAGGAGGTGATAAACAGAGTGCCAAAGGCATGACGGCATGTGCTGTGGAAAATAAAGTTTGTAACTGCAGACATTTTAAGAATGCATTCATTCACTGAATAGAGTGCAAGGCACACAAGCACACAATGTCTGGAGGGCCAGAGAACTGTTCCTCCCTGAAAAGTTAACCCACGTTTTCTTTAAAAGTTACTTTGTGTTTTTGTGTTGGGCTCAGATACAGATCACTGAAACTTTCGCTCTGTTTTTCTTCTGTTGTGCTGACTAGAAAAATTCTATAACTTTCCATATGATATTTTTTCACTTGTGCTTCTATTACTAGCAAATCTGTAAATAAAGTTCTTGAGACTGGATACTGCATATAGATTCAAATAGGTCACTAAGAGAAATGGTAACCCTCTATCCTCTGCTACTGGTTTGCTTAGTATATTGCATTGATTACTAGACCTAGCATTCTCCCACCTATAAAGTGGGATAATATTTCCTTCCTTTTCCATTGCTTCTGTTCCTTCTTCTGTCCCTGCAATAAACTTTTCATCCTCAAGTTCCATTTTTACCCTTACCTTAGTCTTCCACTGTCACGCTTACTTCAAAATGGATATCCTTAGCTTTTCTTAATTTGAATTTACTACTTCTTCACAGTTCACCTTCCTTCTGCCTTTAAGTTCCAGGTGATGTCTTTAAAGCCTCTTGGGTGGCTTAAACATCTTCCTTGTTCCTTTCACCTGCTACTCCAAACATGTAGCACAGGCAAATCTACTCAGTTTGCTGTTCTTTCCATATGTCTCACAAGCCCTGACTTTCTAAGCTTTCTGCATCATTTCTTTCCTGCCTAATTACCCAGGCTTGTCCTATGGAGCTGCTCTCCTTGAGCCATTGGTTCAGTCAGCTTCCATGCACCACATGTCCCCTTATCCTGCGTTAATATCCACCTTTTTCTCTGGCTGGTACAACCAAAGTGTACGTTTTGATGCAAACAATGTTATAGTATTGTCTATTTTGTTGTGTTGTGCAGACACACAAAGGTTTCAATTAGCCTGTAAGCTTGTCAGGACAAGGATCTTTCTTGCCTAACCTAGAACAGACCTTTTAAACACAAATGCAGGGATTTTGTCACCGTCTTACTTCCAGAGGCCTTATTTTGTGGAAAGTAGAGCTCACTGCTTCCTCTCCTCCCCCATCTTCTCTCTGCTGTCCCTCCGATCCATTTGGATCTCCAGGCATAAACACAGTTTCACCAGAGTTGTTTTGCAGCTCTCTAAAATTGCATCAGACCCAAAGAAATGTAGAGGTTTCTGGGGTGACTGTTTTCTGCCTGTTCCAGTAACACATCCTGCTGGCTGCTGTGCTGTAGCACACCAAAATTTAAGTCCATATCGTACCCCAGCTACCTCTACTACAGAGTACAGTTAGTGGAAAAGTAAGGAGTACAATTTAGGGGGAATATATGCCTCATGTTATCCTTCCACAAATGCTTTTTGATCTTTCCTACAATTAAAATTACATTTTACTGTCTTGACTCATATGTTGGGTGTTTCTCAACTAAATCTTGTTACAAAATTCTGTGTCTTTGTATCACAGATCAGAAGAACAATTAAACTGTGCTGTCAGTCAGGTTATGAAACACTTTCACTCTCAGTCTTCCATTCCACTATTCAGGAAAGTCTGTATCTTGCTCTACTGAATACTGAGAGAAGGAATTCAGTGCAGCATCTACATAAGCAAGGATTAGAGCTGTAGTTTGTATAAACGTATTACACAGCAGTGCAAAATGAAGGCATAATTTAAATAACTTAGAACATTTCTTTCAAGGCACACATTACACTTAAACAATTTTTTCTGCCAATATTTTTGCAAAAAGTTGAATTGCTTATTATTACAGCATATAATGTGCATAAAATGGAATCCCAATCCCATATTCAGTTTCTCTGGTTTTCCAACAGCATTGCTCCAGTATCCCTCCCAACCACATACATATGACTCCATAAGAACAGATGGAGTTTGTGCACAACTGGCTTTTTTTTCCCCATAACGAATCGAAACGAGCAGCCAGACAAGACAGAAATTTGCTGAAATTCTGAATTCTTTCTGCAAGTTTAAAGATTTTATAAGTTATCATTCATTGATTATACAACATCCATGCTCACAAGCATCTGTTGGTTGCATATGGGAGTTTAGACAAACTCCTTTTCTTATACTACTCCGGAAAATGAAACACAACTTGATCAAAAAAGAAGTGCTGCAGCAGCTGTTTTCAGGATGAGCTCTCTGCCCCCCTCTGAACTGGGGCAGAAGGAACTAGTAAGAGAGTATGTACCATATCACACACACCAAGAAATCAGGGACAGATACGATAAAGCCAAATTTTCCCATCTGGGCAGAAACAAGGGGAGTTATGGCTGAGATTCAGCTCTGGCAAGTTGCAGGAAGATTATGAGCAGTTCATAATAAGCAGAAGTTTTTCTGGCAACTGTTTTGTATGTTTATGCAGATAATCTACCCATTTGGAAAAACTGCAGACCAGGTATATTTAAAGCTCCTGAAACTCATGGATTTATTCCTAATCATTGGAAGACATGCTTATACATCACAGATCTTCATTAGCAGAGTTTTAGCTCTCAGATTTCTGCCTTCAGCCTCAGCTACTTGCTTCAGTCCATTCAGCTCTGTGAGCACTGGAAAAGATGAATAAATCCTGGCTTATATTCTTTCCTTTTCCTGACTATCAAAAGTTCAAATCCAACCATTGAACATGCAACATTTACTTAATGGCATGCTTTGTTAAGGAGAACTGTTCAGTCCTTTTGAATATGCCAAAAACACAGGAAAACAACTTTAAAAAATTTAGGAAAATTACTCTGACTCATTCAGTTTGTTTCCTTTTTTCCTACTGTGATGAAACACTGGGCTGTAGGAATGGAGGCTTCCAGGAAGCACTAGGGTATTCTTGCCACCATTAAATATATAACTATGTTGGGCTATTTTTTCCCCCAAGGTTAGAATCACTAGTCTTTTAGGTTGTTCTCCCTAAAGGTGGGAGGAGCATGCTAAAGAAATAATAGCAAAGTCAAGAAAATATCTATCACTGAAAAAAATATTAAATCCCAGTAATCCACACAGCAAAAAGACAGACAGACAGACATTAATCTAAATCTGTAAAAGAGCTGCATTCACTTGTCTTCACGCTTTCTTATTTTCTGTCCTGAGTTGAGAGCACATTCCTGCAGTTCAAAACTTGGCACATTTTTCCCTTTCTCATCTATGCTGCCTACTTCAGATATCTTCTCATTTCTACTCTTGTCTGAGCCTAGTCCTGGCTTCAAACTTTCTAAGTATCCCATCTTTCTTTTTAGAAAGTTTTTCTTATATGAATTTCAAGCCATCTAATCAACACAATGACGTTAAACTCACAT